AATTTGCTGTTACTGAAGTTATTTGTACATCACTAGACTGTATTTAGATAATATTTTGCCCAGTGTCATGGGCAGTATATTTTATTGAGTGCAGCGCATCGTATCTTTTTTACATTAGTGATAATGATGTTATATAAATAAAATTCAAGATCTTACCACATCTCTCTCTTTTTCTTTTAGAAACTGTTTTCCCAGTAATTTAATCGAGGCCACTGTAAAGCAGGTATGTACATGCATGTGTGTCCATAACGTATGCTAGACAAAGAAGATTGCAAACTCGATCGAGTTTTCCCCGACTCTTTGAGATTAATTGAGAGAAAAATGTGCGAACAGCCTGCGTGTATAAGAAAATATACTGAACAGTACCTACACTGTATATCCGTAACAGAGTATCACAAAATCACGTGCTTTGAATTAGAAAAAGCCATTAAGGCCTGGGGGTGGATTTCTCTTGGGTCTTAACTCCCATAGAGATAATTATCTGTGAAGGCTTTTTAATTACCATTTCATTTCTTTCACTATCTTCAGAGAAAAACGAAGTATCTTGCTGCACCGGCAAAGTATGAAATGTACAATGTTACAGGCTCCAACTTAACCCTTGCCTCAAATGAGAAAATTACTTCTGAATCAACATTTCATAATGGTTCAGAAATAATCTCAACAGTATCAAAGCAGATCTATCCTGGTTCAAACACAGTCCCGGCAGGAATGAAATCGGACGATGGAGTGAATCTTCTTGGCCTGACCGTGTTCTCCATTATCTTTGGCATTGTGATAGGAAAACTTGGCCCTAGAGGGAAACCACTTGTTGAATTTTTCTCGACATTGAACGATGCTGTGTTGATGCTGGTCACTTTGATTATGTGGTGAGTTTTAGGTTGTTTTCTGAAGTACTTGTAGGTTTCTAAGGGTAAAATAATTTTTGGCGAGTGTCAAAAGTAACCCTGGATTCATGAGCTTTGATTTAATCCGTTCATCGATTGGTCAAGAAAACTCACGTCACATTCTCCCCCATTGAGATGCAAATCAAAACCAGACATGACTTATTTTACCTTTGTTCTGATTGGCTGTTGTTGTGACACTCAGTTAACCCTTTAACTCCCAAGATCTGATTGTTAATTCTCCTCTCTAGCTGCTACACATTTCCTTGTAAATCAGTTATGAGAATTTAGTGTTAGATCAAGATAACAACTTCTACCTGATAAGTTGGAGTTTTCTCAATACCTGTACGTGATATTTTACTATGCACATTATGCTCTGATGTAACACCTATTGGATGGGTCGATTTACAAAACAAGCAATTTCCTATAAAGAAGAGTGTTCTATGCATGTTCCAGGTATTCGCCAATTGGTGTTTGCAGTTTGATTGCCGCACGAGTGGCAAGAATGGATGATATCTTGGGGTCAATGCAGAAACTTGGCATGTTTATCGTCACAGACACTATTGGCTTAATTATCCACACCCTGGTTGTCCTACCGATCATTTATTTCGCTTTTACGAGGAAGAATCCATATACCTTTATCAAAGGCCTGAGAGACGCACTAATGACTGCACTTGGTATTGCTTCCAGGTAAATATTAGACAACCAGAAATAAAGATAATTCGGGAGCTGGTACGTTTAGATTAAGAGGTATCTCCCTGTCATCGACGAAGGCATACCTTAATTGATTTCATACAAGGCGCTCTCTGGAGCAAAAAAATTAGTTCTTCATTTCAATAATAAAAGTCTCCGGTAAAATGAGCCACTTCTGCAGGTCTGGATAAACAATACTTGGACAGGCACATGCCGTGATCTTAATTTATGGGAGGGATAGGACCGTAGGAAATTGGAGCTGAGGTGTGTCAATCCTTCATGCAAATTTCCCTATTTAACTGGCGAAGGATGGTCCTGAAATTGAAGGCTGTAGTGTAAGGTGTTGCAATGTAAGGTATTGCAGCGGAGGGTATTGCAGTGCAGGATATTGCAATGAAGGGTATTGCAGTTTAGGTTTTTGCAGTACGGCAAGATTTTCCAGTGGGAATTTCCAAACTTGCATCTTACTCATGTCAGGTTGTTCGATTCTTAACGTCATTACTTTCCTTTACCACAAGATGGATTTGCCTTTACTCTACTCCCGCTATAGCTACGCTTTTGAGTGAGCTGTACAAAGCTCAAGTAAGCTCGTGTTCAGTAGGCTAATAACAACTTATTAAATGATTGATCTGTGGAGCTTATATAGAGATGAAATTATCTTGATGCAAATCTTTCTATTTGGTTTTCGTACTTTAATGGAATATTATCTTGTGCAGTAGATTCTTATTTTCCTCGATTTTTCTTCAGCGCTGCAACGCTCCCCACCACTATGCGATGTGTTGAAGAGAACAACGGAATAGATCCGCGCATAAGTCGATTTATGCTACCACTTGGGGCCACCATCAACATGGACGGTTCTGCTCTCAACCGACCAGTTTTACTGATATTTGTGGCTCAGTTAAACGACATAGATTTAAGTCCGGGAAAAATTGTCACAATATGGTATGTACTGCATGTAGAATACATACCAATCTCGTTCCTGCCTTTTAGCGACTTCCTGTTACATGTGTTTGAGGTGTATCCTGTCACGTGATACTTAAAGAAGTGAAAGTTTGTTGGAAATGTCGCTGATGGAACTGACTTTATTCAGAGAAATCTACATACAGCATCAGTCGATGTAACGTTAGCAGTGCATTCGTTTAATTTCCTGTAAATGATGTGAGGATTCAAGTTGTTCAGAAAAATCATTTCAGAAAAATCAGTCGATATGATGAAGGGCTAACGCTCGAAACGTCAGCTTTGAAACTCTTTACGGTGGCCAATTTACGTTATCAACTCAGTTGATAAGACTAAATTACCCTGTTGGTCTCTACCGACGCAGCACCATATTTTCTTTAGAAACTTACCCCCTTTATTCAGAAAAATCCTAGTTCGTCTATATCAACTGACGAGGTCTCAGCCGAGATTCAGAGTTTTTTAAATCACTTGGGCGAAAACCAGTAAACAAATTGATGTGTAGTAATACGTTGTAATACTAGACGATGCAAGAATTCCTAACAACCATTTTCATTTATTTTGTTCCTTCACGATGCAGTATAATTTCTGTGTTGCTGGCGGTGGGAGCTGCTGGGATTCCAGCAACAGCTGTGACCACAATAATTGCCTTGCAAGCTGTGAATCTGCCTCTTCATGACCTAGGACTTATTCTTGCGGTTGAGTGGTTGCTGTAAGTGTACAACCTTCATTTTATTTTATTTTTTACTCCGCTGGAAAATCTAACATATGATATTTTCAATTCAAAATTTAAATACGAAAAATTAGAAGTGTCTCATTCATGTGTCTATATTTTAATAGAAGTTGCAGGACCTTGAGGATTATGAAGCAAATCTGTGTTTTCTAAACAGAATACTTTTACTTTACGACTGTGACATGTTATTATTCTTTCTTCACTTGACAACTAAGATTCAAACTTCCGTCTGTTTCACTCCATTTTCGAACAGTTCGATGTCGACGATACTAATCTTAGCAGCGTCCAGGACATCTATTAAATACCAACTGCTGTATGCTGAGTTCGTCAAAGCGTTTTTTTTAGTTCAGTTGGCAGAGCATCCTAATGCAAAATCGAAATTGATTTAGGCTCGAATTTCCAATGGAAACTATGATTTTTCATTTGTTCTGCGCTCGTTGAATGTTTAAAATCTCTTTTAGGAGCAATTTTCAATTTACTGTGGAAGTAATCAGGGATTTTTTTGACTTTGCTTTACTTCGCTGTGTGATTGGTTAAGAAAACTTACGACACTTTCTCGACCAAACAGATTCAACACTACAACCAATGGCGAATTGGTAACTCTCTTTTCCCGTGCTTTAGGTAATTTGCTTGTTTTTATTTTGAGTTCTCATGAGATGTTCTCGTTTCTTCTGATCGGCTGTTGTCAGTACTTTGGTTCTAGTTTCACAACACTCAATCGCAAAGTGCTCCAATACAGAGTGTTGAAAAATGCCCTCTTTTGGGAAAACATGCGAGCATAAAGAAAATTTAATTATTGTTAAAGAAAAATTACTGGCTATATTTTCTTCCTCACTTTCCCATTTTAGCTCAAAAGCCTTATTAGAATGTATTTTCTTGTCTATTCTAAGGGACCGTTTCATCACTGTTGTCAACGTCATGGGGGATGCCATGGGAACGGGCATTGTACAACATTTATCCCGTGACGAGTTGGACGAAATTGACGAGAAAAATAACAATCCAACTGGAAAAATTTTGAAGGAGAGGTTTGCTAAAAGTGACGGTCCTGATTCTCATGTGGCGACATCTGGCGTTTAAATGACACACTTCATACACTTGATTTCAGCAGCAATTTTACCTGGACTACTACAAGTTAGCTACAGAAACCATAACCCTAGTGAAACACTTTATTACGCGGTAACCTAATTGACTTTTCTTTTATATTGTTACGCTACCAACATTCTTATATCTTATTGGGCTTATATCTAATTTGTTTTCTGTTAATGCTGGGGAAAGTGGAAATCACGTGCTGCTTTGTCACATATCTGTCATGGCGAGTTTACTTAATTGTAATAAGGCTTATCATGATGACTAGCATCTATGTTCTTACAATATCGGCTACGAATCACACTTTAAGGTCATGGTAATAAAGGAAATTATCACCAACTAAACAAGCTCTTGATTGTCAAATCAATTCTCTTTGTCAGCACCTTGGGAAATGTAAAGAGAACAGCACGGAGAATATGCCTACTGATGTTAGGGCGTAAAGGGTTAAATATAACAAAATCGGCTATCAAGAGTTATTTAAGTAAGGTGGAACGATAGCATCAACGACGTCAGGGTAGAGAACGCTCGCATTCAAACCCCCCCCTCCCTCACATGATGCTCACACTCTTGAGACTCTTGTCATGATACGAATACAAAAAAATTGTGTGAACAGACATTAAAATACGATTATATATCACGTTATAATAGCTACATCATCGCTGAAATTTAGCATGTAATTTTTCAAGCTGTTCTTGAGCTCTTTGCAAGGCTCTCCTTCCTTCCTCCAGCTCTTCAAAAATCTCTTTCTTCTCTTTAAACCCGAGGTTATCGAAATCTGTACGCAAAAAATTAAACCATTGCAAATTACATCGTGTTCATTTTATCGAGTTATTATGAAATTTGACATTGTCTTAAATTAATAATAATAAAAGGAGAATGAGAGGAAGTTGAAGAACAACAGCGAAGACATAACCAACGGAAACCAAAATGGATGGCAATGCTTTCCTTATGTCGACGTCTCACTTCAGTGGTCGCAAACAGCTGGCTTTGGTTATTTATCAATTACAAGTTATGAGGGTTAAAAAACTCACGCATTCTGTCCTCAATCGAGGAGGTCAAAATAAACCACAACTACATTTAATTTCTTATCGGCTCCCCATATTTATATTTACTGCTGAATGAATGATAGAGTCTCGTTTTTCTTATTTGAATTTGGGTTTACGAAACTCGGTCAAAAAAAAATCTGCATAACACAATCTTTCTTTTTACGACTAGACGAGAATTTCACCTGGGTTAATAACTATTTTAGTAGCCCAACAAATTAGCCCTTTAATAAACAGTTGTTCCGCGAGCTTGCATTGGATATTTAACAAATAGATTCCAAGTTGCCGTGCGTCTGTTCAGTAATAGATCACAGATGACCTCAAAATTTGGTATTGGTATTTGGTATATAATAAAGAATCAAAATATACAGAAAAAAGTTTTAATGATGACGTCATCTATACGTCTGTCCTCCAATAGATCATAAGTGAGAACCAATCAGAATGCGTGCATAACTGAGCTTATTACATAAAAGATGATAGATAGCTAACAAACGGAATGTTACAACGTACAAAAACACTTCCGGTTTAACTCGTCTTCATGCGTGCGCATGGTATAATGGCCCATAACACATGCTGGCTAAGCGACTGACAACTCTTGAATTGCATTATCCAATGATCCAGATTTAAATAATAGCCTTTAATTTACGTTCAATCCACTATTGTCGTATTTCATACAAACTAAGGCAAGCTATCAAATGTATTGTGATGGTGATGACTAAATACTTCATTTATTTTCGCTTTACTGTGTTAAAAATTTTAATGTTTATTTGTTTCACAATTCCATTGACCATTACTCACCCTGTTTTGCCTTCGATTTCTTCTGTCTTTTTTTGTAACACACAGACTCCCATAGAATGCCAATCAGGAGTAAGGCTGATAAAACTCCTAATGATATGTGGAACACGTGTTTTAACTTGGTAAATCGGTCATCGAAAACACTCGCTGTTTTCTCAGGCTTTTGAGGTATCAACTATTAGAAAGGAAAAGTGCCATTTAGTTCTTAATCAGGAGGGAAAATAATAGGAAAATACAAATAATCTAAGCTAACTGCTCGTTGCGAGAGGGCAAGATAAGCCTTTGACCAGATGAATTTAAGATGTGTAAAACAACTTTCCTAGAAACAGGCGGCAGATCAAAACCTTGAGGAAGGTGTAGGAGGAAGATTCCCACAGCTAACTATGTTAGAGATTTTCATCGCTAACCCTTGTTATATTGCAATTTCAAGATATGAGTAACGTTTCAAGCTACAGCTTAGCCCTTGTTTTAAAAGACAGCTTATGCAATGACGAGTTACCTTAAAAGAATTTGCAAGTGACAGACCAAACTGGTAAATATTTGGGCGAACGTAATCCAAACAATTTGCGAAGCTAGCTCTACTTTTTGAGACAAGGAAGCCACTATCTCGTTGAAATTGCATCGTCTTGACGGTGATCAGTGCTTTGAGCTTGTCTTGCTTTTGATAAAAAGAGGCAGTGAAGCGGTCCAACATTATTCCATCTACCTCGTGGGCTTTTAAAGCTTGGATGGCACCATCAATATCTCCGAACACTAGAATAAAATTTAATAATCTTTTAAGGGTCTTTCTGAATTACCAAACAACTCTAAGTTATCCTCTGTTTAGCAAGATTATTATAACTCAAATAGCTTAAAATTCCTACCTTATATCCACGATCAGGGAGTACTCAAGAAAAACAGCTTGCAAAAAACTAATAAACGACAGGGTATTATCCTTGTTCAACAAGAACGAATTCAGTTGCTGTACGTTCAACTGCTAACCAGTGTAATATACTCCTGAATCGTTCATTATTTACAGAATTTGTTAAACTGGTCTGAGTTTATAAATGTCACCATCAAAACATCAACTTTGAATTGTTTTTCGCTTCGGCAAAGTAGAAGGGAGGAATTATTAATATAATTTCAGCATTTTGCGGAAGATTTATACTCTTGAGAAGTAAAGTAAATGAAGAAGGATCAACCAAACCACAAAGATATAAACGGTTCAAAAAATGCGAATCGTTCATTATTTACAAATCTGCAAAGTAGAGGGGAGGAATTATTAATATCATTTCAGCATTTTTGCGGAATATTTATACTCTCAGATATAAACGGAAAAATGCGAAGCATTCAACTAATTAATTCCTTTTTTCTCGTCACCATCCTCCCACCAATAGGGTAGTTCCACTTTCTGCATATAAACCCACACACAACCCACAGCTCCTCCAATCGCTCTGACGAAGGGCTAACGCTCGAAACGTCAGCTTTTTTACTCATTACGGTAGGCAATTTACGTTTTCAACCTAGTTGTTAACACTAAATAACCTGCTATACTTTAACTGCGGTTCGAATCATACCTTTGGGAATTGCATCTTCTTCAAGTGCATGCTGATATTCTGTACCGTTGTCTAACACTGCAATCTGAAAAAAATAATTGTTGTCTTCTCTAACTTCAGATTTGGACGAAGAGATTACAAAAACATCTTGGATAAAGCAGTTCAAAATTATTACACGCTCATCGTGTGGGTCTCAGGACACCTAAGGGGTATTTGTTCTCCTTTTTTCCTCGGGAACTGACATAAAATGAGGACAATTGCTAAACCTTCCTTTCTAAAAAACGACGTGAACCCGACCTAACAGCTTGTTATAAAAGACATCTGTGAGTATTTTTCGAATCCTTTCGCTTATGAAACAAACGAACAACACGTGCATGTAACATGCATGCAACATACAACAAACCTTAAGATCCTTCAAGCTTAGTTCTTGTTCCAAGGAGAGGGCCGTCAATGTAGAGGTTATATGAGCCATAATCATTGACATACTAATGAGACCTAATATAATCCATATTACGGAAAATATACGTGCCACAACTGACTTTGGAACTTTGTCGCCATACCTATGTAATAAAAACAGGCAACATCTCTTACGGGTTCATCTGATTGACATCTTTCAATTGTGAAAATAATTCTTTTTTCAATGTCTTCTATGTGGATGGCTAACGCCTTCATTATGTCGTAGAAGGCTCTTTGAGGTTTTGTATTACTATTGTTTAATGGCTTGAAGGTAGTTTCTAAGCTACCGAGATCTCTATATGTCTATTTGCCACGTGTCATGAAACTCATCCAAAAGAAAAAAACACGCGTATTGTGAACATCATCAACATTTTTAAAAAAGCATATAGCTCTCATGACCTTTGTTTGTTTGTGTTCTTATAAAAAATCATAAAGACATTATCTTTTCAATCTCAGTTTTGAACACCAGTGTAACAGTTTTTATCAAACATCGACCCACCCAACAGTTGTCATGGAAATAAAAGACCACCAGAATCCGTCCCAGGAGCCTTTGAGAAATGGACGATTAAATTCTTCAGGGTTCCAGTATGTGTCCTAGGATTCCAATAGAAACAAAAATAAGAGCACCAGTAAGAAGAAGATAAACAAAAGGATGAAAAACTAAGAAAAAGAGTAAAGCTGTGATAAGAAAAACACAAAGTTTCGACTAATAATATATAAACGTCAAGGGAACTCCTAAGATTGAAAATATTGGAGAAAGCGAAACTTACCAATGCCCAAATAAAAATGCCAGCAATTGCTGCGAGAACAAGATTGAAGGCAACCAGAGGCCAGGCGTCCAAAACAGCATTAAGCACAACATCTCCGTTTTCGATTGAAATATATACTGTGCCCGGATAATCACTTGTTTTGATAAAATGAAACTCGCTATAGTGTCTATCGCTCGTGGGTTCGAATATTGGAGCAGCAACGTCGATCTTTTTTTTCCGCAGAAGGTTTATCATTTCAAACTCGCTGCTAGCTTGATGACTATCTACGAATGTTGCACCACAGCTATGTAAAAATCTCAGTACCATTTCTTCCCCCATCCCAGAGGGTTGTGTAGTATTGGGAACTGCATACAGATATGGTGGCTTATGAATCCATCCCACCACTATAATTCGTCGGTGGTTCGTCGGTGGCACTGTTCTGGTTGTGTAGTTTTGGTTGATAGACGAGTTTCCAATGGAAGCAATGCAAAACTGCAAATTCGCTGCGCAAACAATTACAATGAAAACTGACAACATTTCCAATATTTTCCTCATTGTTCTGTCGAGAGAGGACAGATTAGTTAAGAAATTGACAAAAAATAGTGTCGGGTTAGTTTTAAAAAAACTTCGGAAATACCTTGTGTAACTCAAAAAGAGAAGCTACAGGTATTCTATGGTCATTACAAGCGAAGTGAAATGGTCTGTGTGGCGAAACTGCGACTGAAGTGCATTAATTCATAGAAATGAGGTGAATAATTGATATCTCAAAGACGGTTAAGATGAGACCTGTAACGGTGGAAAAGTCTTCTTTTTAGTTCTCTTGTAAATGGAGATAAGCCCAAAGTCGATGATGTGCAGAAGGAAAATAGGTTTCCAGGTTAAACCAATTGATCTATCACGGCGACAATGTCCTCATCAAAACTTAAGGTGTCCTCGGTTTACAATATCAGCTCGCCTGAATGAGACAAGAAAAGCTGACTGTGTTGGTAAAAATAAAATTAAAAAAAATTGAAAGATGAAAAATGATGAAACAATGACTACTATACCCGACCTTCCTTCCCCATTTAGAAATTGTTTTATCTGCAATATTAAACTGCTTATCCCAGCTTTTACAGTAAATTTTCTTTTAACTCGCTGTTACTCTCATTCACGGATTCACATAAAGGTTTGCTCTTTGAACCTTTTTTTTTTTTTTTTAATTTTTGCTGTTATTTTAATCAATAATTCATGCTAATATTCTTTTCATACTGATTTTCAAATGACAAACATGCTCTCTATATATGCAAGAAGTTTATGTCACGTATTGAACAACCTGATAACACTTGATCAAAGGAGAGCCGATTCATTAAACATTCATATCCAAGATGAAAAGGATGAATAGGAAGAAGACACATAATTGAGCAGAACAAATTAAATTTATCTTTCTTTATTTTGGAAAGGACTATGATATAGTGTAAATAGAAATATCACGAAGAAATAATTTGACGTAATACTGCCATAATAATAGGACGGCAATCAAAAGAGTCAACAAAGACCGGTATTCCGAAAAAAGCTGTAGGATCCATCTGCCTTTTATGTTTCCTATATCGGCCAGGGATTTTGAATCCTTAAAAGATTAAATTATATGAAGCCATGAATATTCTTTGACAAAAATCTGTGATACCTGAGTGCGCATTGTTTAGTTTTAAAAATGGAGAGAACATGTCTATAAAGAACTTTATTATTAAGTCTCGGGCCTATTTGACTGCTGTAAGGAACTTAAAGGAAGGGGTGGTAAAGTAGAATTAATTGAAAACTGGGGTTAACATTGAAAACAGACACAAATTCACCAAAAAATTGTAGTAGCATCTACTCATCAAAGAATTTGCAGCCTAGAACGTAATGAAAAAAATCGTCTTGGGCCAGCCCAGAAGAGCCTTCTTAAGACATATGCACCTGGATAACTTATATGGTTTGGTTTCTATGATCTTCCCCGCTATTGTTCACTTTGTAAAATTTTCGACGTATTCATGCAAGGAGATGAGCTGGTGCTTCCATGACAAAGATCACGGAAACCCAAGTGAAGCTTAAAAGATCGTGTATTGTTCGTTGCACATTGGTTACCAAGTTGAAATGTCCCATATTAGAAGCATAAGAAACTCGTCCCGCTACCAGGACCATCTCGGTTACCCATCTTATTTTAAAAAAGGCCCATCCTGGGAACTTGTGCCAATACATCGACAGACTTATGTTAGTGTGTTAGTGTATGTATATACATTATAAATATGATTTGTAGTGACGTCAGTCATATTCTGAGAACTTCAGCTTCGAGTTTCTCGAAGTGCTTTTGGATTTGGGATAGCATTCTTTTTGCTGTTTCCAAGTCTTCTTGGATGGCTTCGCTTCTTCTTAGCTTCCATTCCTTCACTGGCTCTACTGAGAGACATAAAAAGAAATAGGGCCCACAATCATGTCCGTCATCGAGGAAACAAAGTTCATAATGGAGTATTTTATCGCAACGATAATCTAAACGAATTAAAGCTTGCTTTGCTTTCTTTTGTTTGCTGTGGTGTGCACTGGAAGCGACAGCAGTCGACAGGAAACGGCTTTCAAGAATTTTTGCAGAAGTATTCAAAAGAAAAATGACGACTTTACCCAAGTGACAAGTATTGATAGAAAAAAAGAGTGCGTTAACTGCTGTAGAGCGATATCTGGTTGAGTCGATTCGATTGGCTCATTTAGCTGGTTTCTGTAGCATGTTGCCACAGGAAGGTTTTCCTTAATCATTTCGTCAAGATTCCCTGAAATCTCACCGATTCCCATTCATACTCCTTAGTGGAGAGAGTAAAGAGTCCTTCCCACGAAAACCACACAGTGACTCGGTTACGTCATTCAGGTGGACCTCTCGACCTCGAATTCAGCGCACTAGCCATTGAGCGGGTGCGTTTCTTATGGACAGCGGCACACTTACCTGAAATAATGTTATTATTGATTTCAGTCTTGCAGTTATTTCTGAGAATTTGCCAGAGTGTCCCAGTCATAAGCAAACCAGTAAGTATGCCGAGGGTTGTGTACATGAAAACACTAAGAAATGAGGAAGACGTGTCGAACAAATTGACTTTCCTTGTTCGCTTTTGTTCCATCAGCTGAAAAAGACAAAAGTTGGTTTTTAGATGATCTTGTGAATATAATTCAATGCACGTTTGTGTCTTTTTACCTATGTCCTTGAGATGTGGTACAGTTACGCTGAGCTTAGTTACGCTCTCGTTGCAGAACTCGGGTTGGATTTCAGTTTGTTATAAAGGAAATACAAATTGAATGAAAGGGCGAGATTAAGTTAGACTAACTAAATGCCATTGGGTTAACTGGAATTTCGTTTATCCGTCAAAACTAAACGAGTACAAGGCAGAAGAAAAAATTAAAAAACTAAATATAAGGGCAATGAAATGTTATTAGAGTTGATGTGGAGGAGATGGAAGCGCTCTGTTTGGTTTAGGTTTGGTTTGGTAAATTTCTTTGTTATCATGCTAACTAGATACCGGTCTCTATCACAACAAGGTCACCTTCAGCCTCACTCCAAATCAAATTAAAATTAACTATTCCAGTGACATGTAATAATGAACTAAAAATTTTATAAGTTTATTTGTCTCTTAGGGGTATACGATCAGGAGTTTCAATTACTTTTCCATTATCTTAAAAAATGAATTCTGGATAATAATGTATGTTAGGTATAGACTACCCTTGTTAGGTATAGACTACCCTTGCCACTTTTTATGGCGACGCGTAAAAATGTAATGTGTCTAGAAAAACCTGTAGAAATTACAACGACTCCACCTTGTAAGAAGAAGTGACAGTTTGAGTCAGCATCATGATATTTGGACGATAAAACTCCAAGCAACGCGCTAGTTCCCTGTTGTCCTCCGAAAAAAGCACTCCGATCTCCCTGGAGAGATCCAAGCTCTTGAGAGAGATAAGAGACTCCAGTTCACCTCTGGAGTGGTGATAGGAAGCAGTGTAGCGATCCAAGAAAATTCCTTCTACTTCCTTTGTTTTGACAGCCTTGATGATTTCGTCTATTTTTTCGTAAACTAAACGCAACAAATGAATAGAATTTTGAGACAAAAAGGTTATTTAAGTATTGAGAACAATTACTAAGCCATCACGGAAAGGCCTTGGGGGCATTGATTTCCTAAGAATTATAGTAGATGAATAGTTTTGTACGATTCAGCTGTCTTTTTCTTTCTTTTTTTCTTCTCAGGAATACAAATGCTTGCCTTCTTATTGACGGTTAAGTCTAGAGAATAATCAATGTTTCGTAATATAATTCTACCATTAGAATTTCAAATCACACCTGTCATAAGCGTCAACGAGCATAGTCTCTTACACAAATGTTATATTTCAATTTCCCCTTTTTTATTATAGAGTATCGACTTTGACATTAAATGACGTAAGTCACTCTTCATTGGGTCGAGTCGGCTATTTATTGAGGTCACCTTTCGGGTGAGCATTTTGCTCAAGTGCATGTTGGTATTCAGTTCCATTGCCCAGCACCGCAACCTAACAAGCAATGAAAAAAAAATCAGCAAAAAACAAATAAATAAATAAGCCAAACAAACACAAGAAAAGACAAAAGCAGACTAACGGGAAAAAAAGTGAACTTTTTATGTTGATCTTCGTTTCAATGCAAAGATTGCACTCAAGAAAACGGACTATGTTTTTGCGGGTTATCGTTTTCCCCCTAGTGTTCAAGTGCTCCTGAATCGACAGAAGTCGTGACTCTCATTCACGATTCATACACTTAGTAGTACACTTATCCTTCTCCACTCATAATATATTCTTGAGTCATGAATGCATCAGTTTGTGGGTTATCATTTCTGCTTCACGATTCCGAATCGAATCGACGGTCGATTCGGACGGATCAACGAACGTTACTTTCGAGTATTATCAGCTAGTGAGTGTTGGATATATGTTTCCCCAAAAGTGTTCTAGTGGGTAAAATACCATCCGAAAAAAACATTGTTTTAAACCTTGAAAAGAAATCACAGAAATTAGAATTAATTAGTAATTTCATCTCAATCATGCGAACTGAAACAAATTTTCATAGCAAATACACCAACGAAAAAAGAAAATCGCTAGACTGCAAATTATAGCAACCTTTTTTACAGAGATGTTTCGTCATTTGGAACAGTAAGCTCCTTACTCAGAACATGAATGTAAAAAGGTGATTTCTACGGATTCTAACCTTAACACCTGCGAGACTGGTTGGTTCCAGATCCAGTGAAAGAGCCGTGAGAGAGGACGTGATGTGAGCCGAAAAAATTGTCATAAAGATCATTCCAATAAGGATCCATAAAGTGGAGAAAAGTCGTGCTGGAATGGACTTTGGAACTTTGTCACCGTATCTGTTTTAAAACATACTTTGATTGATAAAGAGAAAACGCTCAACGTAGACTGATGTTGAACATCATTAAACACAATGCCTATAGTTTCAGACTTCAAAGCATTAAACATAGTGTGGTGCAAACTAATATGTCCTTCCTAACCTTAAGTCACTTTTTTTTTATCAATTCTCGAGCTGGATTAAGATTTGAGTGATAAAAATTGCATAGCATTTAAAGAAAATGAGCTAACACTGTTTAACATATGAAAGAAGAAACATCTTCAGCACCTTCATTTTTAGTATGTTGGAGCATACGTATATTACTACATTTTTAATCACGTGTACTCTCACTAAGCAAATAAAAAAATTTAACTGTAAATTGCATCACAAAAGAAAACGACTTCCAAGGCTATACTTCAGGGGAATTTAAGTAGCAAAATTCGCTCAAAGCCAAGATAATTAAATTGAAAATCTATAAAAAATGGAAAAAGCTTGAGAAGGAAATAAACGCGTTTTGTCATCTCACCCTACAGTGGTGACAGAGACGAACGACCACCAGAATCCTTGCCAAGACCCTTGAATGAACTTTCGTGGAAACTCATCTTTGTTCCAGTATGTGTCCTTAATTCCGGAAAAAAAAAAGCACATAAAGGAAATGGGTGAATCATTCCAAAGATGCTTGGGATCATAAATGGGGTAAATTACCCCATTGTTTGTCGAGATGAAATGGTTTCTTCGATGGAAGAGCAGAGGTTAAAGCACTTTCTGGGTTCTGTGGTATCCTTCTTCCAAAACCAACCCTAAAAATTGCAACACCCCTCCAAGCAAAAGAGCGATATCAAACCCTTGGCTTTTTAGAGAGAAAATGCTAGTTTACAACCGAAGTGTTACGAACTTACCAGAATCCACATAATGATCCCAGCAATGGCCGTGAGATTCAAAGTTATGGCCAACAAAGGCCAAGATTTTTGTATCGACTGAACGACGACAGCGAAAGCATTGGTTTCAAAATCATCACGAATAAAGTCCGTTCCTGGATAGTCACTGACTTTGAAAAAAAGAAATTCACCGTATTTCCGAGAATGCTGTTGCTCGAGCACAGGACAAGCCAAATCCACCTCATTTTTTCTCATCATATCTATCAACGTTTCCTCTCTGTGAACTTGAAACATTTTAAAGTGGTATATAACGGGATGAGCGTAAAGCACACCACATTCCACCATCGCGTAACGCATTAAAGTTTCTTGTATTAATCCATGAAAAACTTCGTAAATGGTAGAATCGTTCGAAGGTAAATATGTGTATGGAGGGTTTGAGATCCACGCTACTCTGATGAGTTTCACTGTTGTATTATCTTTCCCCGCCAAGGAAATAAGTGGATGCAGATCAGGTTTGTTCGCATTGCTTTCTAGAGCAGTGGTCAAGATGACAAGGGTGGCAAAAATGAGTTGAAATACAGCAGCTATGATTATGTTGCGCCATTCCATTTCCAATTGTTGCTCTAAAAGGAGCTAAGATCATATTGGATACGATAAATATAAATATATCAACATCTTACTCATTTTCAGAGAAGCGTCTACGCCACAACAAAGACATATCACATGAAAACTCTTTCTTCGAAATACGAGATTATAGATACTGTGTATGAATAAGCTTACCTCTTAATTCGTATGACTGCTTTCGCTATCCGGGTTTAGGGCTTTACTATATACATAATTAATGCTTCGCTAAAGACTTTATTTCCCCTTTTATTGTTTCGTTTAACATCTGTTGGTTAATTTGAGAACATCCTAGAAGGTTCAACCATTGATTATTGCGTGCTTTTAATCATGACAAAAATCTTCCATGCTGGGAGGAGCAATAATCCTAAAATACTTTAAAATTCGTGAATCATGAAAAGAGACTCCTGCGATTCAAATCAATCATGTTAACAAAGATGCAAAGGGTGTTTTGAGGCGAAAATTGTAAATAGCATCGGAACTCTGTAGAGAAACATAAAATAAAAAATTGGTTTATCATAAAAGAAAACTGTGGGATTTCTATACGACGATGCTTCACTATTTTCTTATGGGAAAATAACCAACAGCGACAAATACAGAGCAAAATTAAAATGCAATTAAATGCAAACAAGAAACATATGTGCTACCTCTCTTTTATTTTCCGGTTTTCCTTGATAGATTTGAGAGGTAAATCGTTTGTAAGTCATTCTCGGCCTTGGAGAAAATATGGCAAACTTTTGTTTCAACTTCATTGGCTTTGTTTGGACTCATTCTAGAAATGTATTTAGTAGAAAGGACAGATGTAATAATGTACATAACATGTTCTTGTAATCATGTGGAAAATTTGTTTATTTCCGCTTCAGGGTTGTTGAAGTGTTTCAGCATCTGAAGAAGATCTCTCGCTGCTTTCCTATCCTTATTAATGCATGCTCAGCCTCGTCGCTGCTCTTGTTGCAAAGCATCTCTCCTCCACCATAAGATAAAGGATTCTTATTGAACTGATCATGTTCTCGTTCACATTAACAGTCCTAGAGTTTTTTCATTTCTTATTTCAACTAGTAACTCAGTAGTGTTCATAGCTGCGAGGATCTCTTATATTCGTTTTTTCACCGCAGTGCATATGTATGATTTTCATGACTACAATCATTATTCATCACTTGGACGGTTTATTTAGAGTTGGCTTGTTAGCTCAGTTGGTAGAGCGCTGCATCGGTATCGCAGAGGTCGTGGGTTCAAATACCGTATGGGCCAAAAAATTTTTTTCAGGTCTTATTTCAATTACCAGCTCAGTAGTGTTCATAGCTGCGAGGATCTCTTATATTCGTTTCTTCACCGCAGTGCAGATATATGATTTTCATATATCTACAATCATTAGTCCCAAAGTAGTTTTACTTAAATCCGATAAATCTAGATTTGCGTAAACTTTGTATCAGTTGTAATTTCATTTGCTGCCTCAGTGATTTAGCATACCGATCCTATTGTATCAACATTCACGTTACTGTATCGAGCTTTCTATTTTAGCCTTGCCGACTGCAAAAAAATGTATTTACGGTAAACCAATAATCAAGAAATATTATTTTCGGTTCACTAATGTTAAGTTCAACCTTAAACTGTGAGCCTTCTAGTCTTAACATGCGTAAAACTACAGTCTCACCAAATTTATCTTTTTCCTTGATTTTTCGTGAATTTGCTTTCCTTCTCATGATCAAATAGTTCCAATGAGTATCAAAGCCAGAAAAATTCCAAATGAAGTGCCATTCTTACTGAAAAAACTATCTCAGTTAACTAAACAATTATCCTCATAATAACTATATTATAAGCTGAAAACTACCTGCGTTTTGACTGGTTCTCATTTATGATACATTGGGAAGATAGACGAATATACGACGTCAGCATTAGCAACATTTTGCTTTTTCATCATATAAATCAAATAGATTCCATGTTGCCGTAGGTCTGTGAAATAGAAGATCACAGTAGACGTAAAAATGTGGTTAGAACATCGGTGCATGACACAATTGGCTGCACCTCCTGTGATCTATTACTGAACAAATGTACGGAAACATGGAATCGATTTGTTACATGGATTAACAGCTTTTCTGATCAGTGTCATTTCAGTCTAATATTAAAAACTTTGGACTCCAGTTTGTCAAACTGTTCCTGTGTGGTGCGCAGGAGCCGTCGCATTACTTCAAGTTCGGCGCGAACTGTATCTCCTTCTAAGACCCGTCCTTTATTAATGACTTCATCTGCGAAAAAGAAAAATCGTAATTTAAAAACTGCGTTTATCGTTCCATGGTACAATGTTAAACATTGAAGTTACCAGAAGATACTCGCTGTACTCAATAGTCGCTGCAATCACAGCACGAATTGAATTTATCATCATAGGCTTTTTTATTCTCAAAGTTTTTCACTTTGCAGTCGCATTTACAACAAGTAGAAACCAGTAATTCACCCTCATTATAGAGACATAGTATAACTACAGAGATGTGGTAGAGATTTCCACTCGAATGCAACTGGTAAAGTATTCTTTAAGTTTTCATGTTATATCATATTTTCTTTTGCCTTCGTCGTTAAACATTTTTAGCTTTTTACTTTTTAAATTTACATAATGACATTTTTCCTTACGTTATCTTCATTATTTGAAATTAATACAAATATGAACAGATTTTTAGGGAATATGCTCAATACAAGTTCTCTACATATCAGTGTTTTTTGAAGTTTTTTTGAAACACAGAAGGATTGAATCTCTATCAATCCGTCCCAAAAAGGCCCTCATCTTTAAGAACAGTGATGAAGATTTTGGTCAAGCGTATCTCTTGCCTTCCATCTTCATTTCCGTTTTGCTGATCTCTACTTTTTATTTAACAATTATTCACCTTAGAGGAGGTGAAGAGTGACGAATACCTGCATAGCGGCGAAGTGGCGAGGTAAATATCCACCACTTTTAACGACACTGAGGTGAATAATTGTTTAGTTTATACCCCAAAGATAAAAAAACAAGTTATTTATTTCAATATACCGAAAAATGGTCGGACATTAAACTACTGACGCGCGATTTTGTCTCATCTGCCTCTCGGAGGTGGAGAGTACTTGTTATTCACTTCCGAATTAGCCAATCAGTGCGCGCGAAAAGTTCTCTTCAGCTGCGTGGTATGTATTAATTTATATTAAAGCTGACTTTTAAAGAAAATTGATCAACACGCTCACCCACGTGCATGGTGACATTTCCTTTTCCTTTTCCTTTCAGTCTAATGAGCACTTCCCACGACATACCAATAACAAGCAAAATAGCCAACACTCCAAGTGATGTATACATGGAATTTCCGACGAATGGGGAGGATTCGTCAAAGAGATTGAAGCTTGTCGGAGGCCTTTCTTGTGTTAGCTAATTATGAAATGAAACCATGAAATAACATATGATATCCTTTGCTTTATGGTTAGTTGTTATTTTTTGGTTGGTTTTTCTGTTTGTTAATTCCTCACTTGGCACACGGTTACTACAACGCTGCCGCTGACTTCACGTGTGTTATTAACATTGCTTGTCATATCGCACTTTACCGTACAGCACAAGCACCACTTACATTATCAACTTTACTTGATTCTACTCGTAGTATTGAGAAATCGGTGAACTGTGCATAAAGACTCCAGAAATTTGATGCCAAAATTATGTCTTTTTTCTTTACTTTAAAGATTACCTTGTATGAGTCAGTAATGCCTTGAACCGATCTCCATATGTCTGAACGGAAATTGTTTGTTAAGCACTCGGCAAGCGCCTTTCGGTTCTTATGAAACAGCGCTCCTATGTCTCTTTGTAGATCTAACTTCTTCACAGTTATAAGGGATTCCAGTTTGCCATCTCTTTGATAATAGGAAGCAGCGTAGCGGTCTAATAACATTCCGTTGACTTGCTTTGATTCCAGTGCTTCAATGGCGTCATTGATGCTGTTAAACACTACGAAGACGGAACAATAGATGACGTCTCTTAAAATAATTTTTTTTATTGTTTTTAATCCTGTTTTGGTAAAAAATATGTTATTTCTTGCATTCGTCATAAATGCTTTAAAATTAAAGCAGATGCTGGCAACGCAGCGCAAATATGCAGTCCAGAGCTTTGAAATTGTGCTTTTCTTGGTAAAATGTCGATTGCAGAAGTTTCATGTTTTTCGAAATTTTGCTCCAATTTGGCAACAAAAAGGAACATAATTTTTTTTGTGTTATACTCATTGACTAAATTTTTTTATCTCTCTTATTGTGTTTATGCACACGACGCTTTTGACATTACTGAACCTAGCAGCATGCAGGACGCACATCACATGCATTTGTCTGAACCAAGTTATACCCCTAACTCACCACAGAGTCTTAGATACGACTCCTTATGGGGACTCAGAATCGTTTATTTTTGCTTTGCTATTGACGAAATAAAAAATATCTTTCTCTATTTCATTACCGAGATCAAAAAGTTACCAAGAATTAACAACTTCATAATTCTGTTTATTATATATGTCAATATCTAGTTTAGCTAAATTGATTTCCCATTGACCCTTCGGACGTGCATTTTCCTCCAGCGCATATTGGTATTCGGTTCCATTGCTCAACACTGCAACCTAAGGATAAAGCGCAAAATAACATTCATGGTAATTTGGACAGATTAAATTCCACATGACTTTTCTTACTAGAAAGACTCCAAAGAAAATGCGTTAGTAATAAAACCAAGAACAGCACATATACAAAGAATCACAGATAAATGTTTTAAGTCTAGTGAGCCCCATTTGTAGAAAGTGCCGTACTATGATAGGAAGTTTATGTTATCCGTTTTGGCTACTTTTTTCTTTTACATGGTCCTTGTTTTTTATGGATAGTCAATTACTAAAATAGAGACAATTCTCTGTATAAGTTTCTTGGAGTCGGCAGGGTTGTAAGACAGATGCCTTGTTATAGCTCATTATAACTGATGTAATGCAATTTCAAATTATCTGCACTAACATCAACGGCATCAAGGCTTGTTGGTTCTAGATGCAAAGAAAGAGCTGTCAATGCAGATGTTACATTTGCCGTGAAGACAGCCATGATTATAAGGCTAAACTGGATCCAGATGACCGAGAATATACGAGCCAGAACAGATTTTGGAGCCTTGTCTCCATATCTAGCAAAGAACAAACAGAAAATACGTTTTTATAAAACGTGTGATCAGTTTTGTGTGCGTGTGGGGGTAGGAGAACATTAGCTCAGAGAGCGCATATGCGATTAACTGCTCGACCTCCCCTGTCGTGAATTAATAAGCTAAATTGATTATGGGAAGTCTAAAGTCAGTGGTTATACTTTTACTGACTAATTAGCTAAAGCTGAAGCATTGTGACAGATTTTCGGGAAGCACTCTAGCAGTACAATGCATGAATTTTGCCCGGTCCTCGCCAGAAGAGGGGAAAATCTGCATGAAATACATCGTAAGAAATGAAAAGTCACCTGATCAATATGTAACTGATACCTCAATTAAGATTTGGGATAAATCCTAATACTTAGAGCTCTCCTCACCCTACGGTTGTCATGGAAATGAAAGACCACCAAAAACCATCCCAGGAGCCTCTGAAGAATGAACGCGAAAACTCTTCACTGTTCCAATATGAATCCTAGGATTTCAAATATAGTTATTGGCTAAAGGAAGATTAATGAATAAAGGGGGTAAGTTTCTAAAGAAACTGTGGTGCTGCGTCGGTGGGAGAGTATAACAGGGTAATTTAGTATCATCAACTGAGTTGACAACATAAATTAGCTTTCGTAAAGAGTTTCGAGTGCTAGCCCTTTGTCAAAGCAATGTTGGTTCTCGCACGAGTGTACATTAAAATCACTGATCATATTAAATATCTATTATCAACGGTCATTGACCCTCTTGATATGGTCATAATTCTTGATATGCAGTCCTAAACTATTGTATAGTTTCGAAAATGCGTCTGCAGCATGTTATTGTTAAGATTGAATGTATCAGACAAACAAAGCAAAGCCGCAGTTAGATATTTAGTGAGATCGAATAAACTTGTTGATTTTTGATGTTACTTTTCCATTGGTTCTTAAGGCTTAGCTTCATGTGGAACTTAAAGAAACGCCTCTTACGGAACACCCGCTGAGTTACTTCAAAAACGCTGTATGAGTTCAGGGGATAATGTAATTTAAAGGAAGATAGAAATAGAAGGAACTTCTTTAGCTCGCATTTGTGTGGGTAGGAAGTTTGCAAGAACCTTAAAATCAGGAGTAGAGTAATACTTACAAGTACCCAGATGATAATTCCAGCTATGGCCGTGAGGATCAGTGTAAAGGCAAGCAAAGGCCAAGACTTCAGCAAAGAATTAAATACTACAATGATAGCTCTGGTTTCCTCTTCAGCCGTTGTTATGTATTCGGTTCCGGGATAATTGAGCACTTTGAAAAATAGAAACTCACTGTAATGCTCATCGTGTTGTTGTTTGAATATAGGAGCAGCTATGTGCGCTTCGTCTCGCCTCAACAGCTCGATCATTTCAAATTCACTTTGAGCTTTCTTTGTTCTCACATTGTAAATGTATCTGTAGTTTTCATCGGTATAACCACATTCAGAAATCAAATACTTTAAAACTACATCTCGAAACAACCCAGCGACTTCGTCTTCAATGGATTCGTTAGAAGGGGAATTTAAATATGGAGGTCTTTCAATCCAGGCTACGGTGAGATTCAGCTGGTGAATAGGTTTTTTTCTCCAATGGCGTGTCGATGAGTTGGCTTCCGCAGAAGTACCTCGGAAATGAGAACCGGCAATTCCAATGACAACAAATGCAAATATGTTAAACAAGTAAGCCATATGAAGATCTAATAATAGAAACAGAATAATTTGTTTTCCATATTTTGAATCGACTAGGAATTCAAGTAAGTGTGATAACGACCTCTTTAAATGTACTCTGCAAAGTCAAGCCAAAGGTTTTCGTTTGTATGAAGTTTGTGTTTGCTCTCCATCTGATTAGTTAACCATAGTTTTCGGCCTACTCTCACACCTTTTTTTTGCGACACGCTCCGACTTAGCAGGCTGTTTTTTCAACAAAATTTCAGTCTATTTTAAGAAATATTTCTCTACGATGCTTCTTTACGATGATTTACAAAATTCAAAAGCGAAGTCTGAAGTTCGATGGTATTTAGCTCATTAAATTGATACTGTCAATATTTATTTATATTAAGGGGAAAATCATTTCGTAGAGAACATACAACTATAGTGAACCTAACTTTTCGCTACTTTTTCATCGTTTTGTTTTTGGAGTATGCTATAAAATTATGCAAACATCATTAGTGTCATTCAAGATTATAACATAGCTAGTAAATTTGTCGAATCAAATTCAATCGCGTAAGCGTGCTTCATATTCCTATTGGGCACGCTCATGACGTCAGCAAACAAATCCCTCGAGAAAAAAAATTTATCCGCGATTCTTTACTTTGGGATTTTACTATTAAAAAACTGGTTAAGACTTCGGCGACAATTTAAGCTAGACGTGGAAAGTTATGAGCCAGCTGATGAGGAAGAACTGCCTACTTTTTCTTTGGGAATGGAGTTTTTAACTCCCCCAAAAGAACGAGTTCATTTACACGCATGAATTCACCTGTCAGTTTTTTGACCAATCTAAGATAAGATCGTTTTCAGCGTAGCAAAATGTTTTCCTGAAACAAAATCATCAACGCGCTGAAGCATAGCAAAGGGAATATTAACCCTATTAGAACATTTAAACCATCGGGTTGAAAATGTTATAAAACGATTGGTTCATACGTCAGCTGTGCGTTGATTGCCGAGAGCCGGTAATTCCAATGACAACAAATGCAAATATGTTAAGCATACGAAGATCCATGAATAGAAACAGAATAATTTGTTTTCTATGTCTTGAATCGACTAAGAATGCAACTAAGTGTGATAACGACCTCTTTAAATGTACTCTGCAAGGTCAAGCCAAAGGTTTTCATTTGTATGAAGTTTGTGTTTGCTCTCCATCTGATTAGCCAACCATAATTTTCGGCCTGCTCTCACAACTTTTTTCGGCGACACGCTCCAACTTAGCAGGCTGGTTTTTTCAACAAGAAGCTAAAGTTTCTCGAGGCTACACCTCGAGCAAGTTTTACGCATCTTTCGTGCTCTCCAAACTTTCCGCATGCTTCATATCTCGATGAACGCATGCTGACGTATGAACCAATTGTTAATTAATTTTTCATCGTTAGCTTCGAATAAATACTCAAAATGGAATGCTTTTACGCGGATGGAATATAACTTAACCTCTTTTCACCATTTTATCTTATCTTCAGCGTCTGTTACTAATCCGGGAGAGGAAATATAAAACATCGTGGTATCATTGCAGATGAAAGAGAGCAGATGTTTTAACAAGCTAGTGGTGCAAATTGGACTCACTCTGCCTTTACGTTTTTAATAAATTAGATCCATTTCTACTTTTTTTAATTGCGTGAGCCCAAGTTAATGATCTCAGCATTTTAAATTCCTGATAAAAAAGGATTGTATATTTCATAGTTTGATACACTGATTTCTTCTTTTTTGAGTTTTGTACCACAATAGGCTTCATTAATAGTAAAAAGGAAATAGTTACCTTTACACTTGGCTTTAGGAGTGATCGGATGAGAATTCTACGCCCTTCTCTTGATTTGCAAATAAATGAAAACACCAAGTATCAATTACACTTGCTGACAGGTAATTGACGGTTTAAAATCAAAATGCTAGGGCCGGTTATTTACACGAGGTCTAACCCAAACCGCGGTTTTACAAAAGCAGTGGGCCGTAGGTTTTCTCTGTAAAAGGGTTGTTTCCATGAAATAAATGTTTAGTTCCACTGTTAGCTTTCGGTCCTCTTAACACTGTTCACAAAAATAAATTGACCCTTAAAGTTGGTCATCAAAAAATGGTCGGGCAAATCTTTGACCATCTCTTGGATGAGATAACTTACAGAATGAGAGGCTCCGATGTGACACCAAGTCATATCTGGACCTTTCAGTGACCAATAGAAAGACTAATATATGACTGATCGATGAATAAGTTTAAGACTCACCTGACAGTGTTAATATGTAGAACGAACCAACTTTCTATTTTCGTCTTCTTGTTTCATGTTTTCTCTTTCTAAGTCAGCTGCATGACGACTCCCGTATCTTGCTGGGGTGATTATTACTTGTCACAATCACAAAGAGAATGACTAATATCGAAGTGGGGCGCTGACTAAATAATTCAAACATCTCTTTTTGTTTAATTGAGGGTATTGTACTGAGTCTATTTTTTCAAGATTGCAATTTTTAGAGCATTTCAGGTAATCACTATAATTTTCATTTTGAAATTCATAAAAAAAACGAGCGGCGTGCGGAGATGTGCCTTAGGTGTAGTGTTTTGATTAGGGACCAACAAATTAAAGCAGCAAGCCTCGAGCTAGATGGTCGTAAGATTAACTGACGAACTTTAATCTCGTCGTTGATTGAATGAAAACAACTTAATTATCTGTAAAAGTTATCTTTACAGTTAGTAATACTCCTAAGCAACTGCCTCATTCCTTTGAAAAGCAGCAAATAGGTTATGGGGTCGACCCCTTGAATTTTCTCGAATATGTTAGCACTATTTATATTAATGTATTAGTTTCCTCAAATCTAAGGTTTTCCACTCTTCTTAGCCTAAACGTTCAGTAAAGTAACTCACAGAAATCCTCGAATCAAAATAAGTTGGAAAAAAGCTGCTCTCGAGTATCACAAGATTGAGTTTTGGAGATCGTGCAAACAGAGCGGCGTGCTGGTTTGTGTAACTGTTGTTGTTACTAGCACGATTTTCAAGGTAATTCGCATCGCGCTTGTAGATATTACAACAAAAGCTGACAAGCTGGAAACAGCTGATCGACGCTCTGTTGGGAGGATTGACAAAAATATCATGTACCGACACATAAGTATTAGTTTTCACATTAATTATTGCACTATAAGCCGAGTTAAACGGCCTTACTGTGCGTCAAATCACAGGCAAGTCATCCGTCTACGGAGACAAATGGGTAATTGATGTTGCATTGGCCAAACTATGAGGCAGTATTTGAGAATTATCTTTGTTTTCATTGGTAATCTTATCTGCTCCATGTCAAGTTTAGAACAAAAGCTGCCAAATTGTTTTGCGAAACGTTTGCGTCTGTTGTGAATTGAAGTGTTGAATACTCAAAGGAGGCCTAAACCAGAACGTTCCTTTCCAATAATCTTCTTTCTTTCAATAATTCAACCCATTGGTTCCTGAAGCGTTTTACACTCTTGAAACACTACTAACTACCAGGCTCAGAGTAGATGATTTATTTCTTAACTCTTGGAACATGGGTATACATTTGAGTAGCTACGAATTTGATGATAAAATTTTAGCTGGCGTAAATACAATGGCTTATTTGCGCACTCATAAATAAGGCCGAAATCAAAGCCGTAGGGTTAACATTATGCAAATAGCAAGCTAGTCAGCAAGTAATGGCTACATCGTCGAATAACTTAAGACTTTAATATTGTCTCATAACTGATCATTAGACCAGTTTCAGCTTGGAGACTTTGGATTCCAGCTGGTCAAATTGTTCCAATGCTTGACGAAGAAGAACTCGCGTTGTTTCAAGATCGGCACGTATTGTATCTCCTTTGGTTGTCATTTCCCAGCTATCATCCATGGCCGCTGCTAGAGGGAATGAAAAAGGATGTTGGCATTTTTGAATCTGAGAATGGCGTGTATTTAAACTCATTCCGCTGTTCAAATATAACTCAGGGAACTTCGAAGTGATATCGTATCCAAGTATGCCGGTTTGCCAGGTTTGAGAAATTTCAGTGAACGATGATGATGATTAAATGAACGACTCTATTGAGGCTCTGAACCACTATATTTCTTTTCTCATCCCGAGCTTTGGCAGATCTGCTATTTCGTCAGTGGCCCAAGCCCTCGATCGAATCGTCAGTCGGTCAATAAACGTGCTACTGTAAGACAACTTCAAACAATAATAAAAAGGATAATAAAAATGATAATATTAAATCCATAATAATACTAATAAAAGTAATAATAAACAGACTCATTAGGATAATCGATTGAGAACTTATCTATCATAAATAATGCTATGGACACTTACCTATTACGGTATTTTGCTTCCATTTTCCTTTCTTTCTCAATAATATGTCCCACGCAAGTCCAATAAGAAGCATTAGAACCAATATGGAAATTTCCCATTGTTCCAATGTGAACTCATAAATATGACTTTCACGGGTTCTTGGAGCTCTCAAACTAGATAAGAGCACTGTTATTTTCATCCTTTTTTTTTTGGCTGCCTTGCCTTACTTTGAACCTCTTTCCATTAGGTTAAATGGGACAGTGTTATATCAAACCTCTGTTTCCACTCTTTCAGGGTACACAGAAATTAAGAGACTAACGCACTAGAACCTTCCTAAATGTAATAGCAATTAGATTAGACGGAGTTGTCTGCAGTTTTTTTTTTGCCCCACATTTTATAGGTGGGACTGAAACGCCCTAGCTCCCTTTAATGAACAACTAAAATGCTGAAAGTCCTTGATGTGACAAGGTTAATTAAACATATGTGCATTATTTTTTGTTGTTTAAGTATGTCATTTTTCAATTGATGCGAAAGAACTTGTAGACTGAGACGATTAAACAAAGGAGAGATGTTTTACCTTTCATGCACGTGTACGCGAAAGATACTTTTAAACTGTAGAGTAACGTTGCGTTATAGAAACATTACGTTAGACTAGGTACCTCGTAAAACGAAGTCAAGGTTTGCATTGATCTCCAAATGGCGGAGCGATGGTAATTTTGTAGGCATTCAGCAAGTTCTCGTTTGTTCTCGTTGAATAGAACTCCTACGTCCCTCTGCAAGTCTAACTTCTTCACAGCGAGAAGAGTTTTAAGTTTGTCTCTTTTCTGGTAATAGGAGGCTGTATAGCGATCTAGTAACATTCCCTTGACCTCTTTTGATTTGAGTGCATCGACAGCGTCATCGATGTTGTTGTAGACTGAGAAAATAAAACAAACAAAACCGATAACGAGAAAACATATCACACACACATACACATACACACACCAAATGGTTTACTATTGTGTTATATCTTCCCCTTTCCTTAGTTCACAATGCTCTCAGTTTGTACATGCATTCATTACTTTTTGGATGTGCGTCTTCTTTCAGTGCATGTTGATATTCTGTTCCATTTCCTATTACTCCAACCTGAAAAAATGTCAAAACATAATTATGTTAAAACGGAATTATATTCAGAACATAATTATCTTTAGTTCAATGTTAAAACGTAATAATGTTCAATTATGAGAAGTTACTGAAGGACAACTTGCGCAAACTCCTAAAACTTTGGTAAAACGAGAAGAGTTTTTTTCTCGCGCATGCCAAGTGATATGAAACCTTCAGGGGAAGTTTTCGTACTGTGTCTTCTTGCTTTACGGAAAAGACAAACTTCTGTTTGCCAAATACACCTCTTAATAAAAAGATCTGGAGTATGTAAAGATAATAATTAATCTTTTCTTCGCACGATAAAAGACTTCATTTACAGATAGAATTTGCGCGGAATGAAACAGTGTTATTCAGTAGAATAGTAATTATACTGTTTTAAAAAAATTAACTCTCCCTCCGGTAAAAAGATAATTAATGAATCATATTACTAATTACTGGAACATTCTATAAGGAATACTTTGACCAGTAT